AAGAACGTCATTTTTACAAAAATGAGGGCTTTTTATATCAACTTTGTAAATAATCAAGCTAAAAGAAACAAAACAATAACAAACGGGTTAAAAATGATATACATATCCTTATTGGGCCTGGAAATAATAGACACGTATAGTGAGCCTTAGTGCTCCACTTACATGTTTATTGGGCCTGAGAATGGGTTTTATATGCGTTCTACTTTTTATACTATTTTAGTGAATACTTGAACTAAAACCAATGATAAACCAACAAATGAATTTAATTTGATCATTTTCTAGGTTATTGGGCCTTAATGACCCATTTCTATGTGTGATAGGTCCTGTATACTATTTACATGTTTATTGGGCCTCACTAACCCATTAACATGTGCGACGGACCTTGGATACTATTTGTGTGCTATTTGGGCCTGTAAATACTTTATATGTGAATTGATCCTTAGTTGTCCTTTCATATATATATATATATATATATATATATATATATATATATATATATATATCGGGCCCATGTTATATAATCTCATTCCATTTGGGCCTTGAAATGATTTACATGTTTAGCGACGCCTTCGTGGTTCACTTACATGGATCATTGGTCCTAGAATGAGTTTATACATTTTTCTTCGCGTAAATTCGATTAAGGATCTAGCGAGTTTTTATCGGTTGGCACCTATTAAGTGTACGATCGTAGCCTGTAGTTATAACCAGAGTCTCCTGGAGGGAGAACGGGATTTGTGTATAGATCTATACGGGGATGACACCCCACACCTGAGCTGTTCGCTACAGTTAGACTAGGCCAGTCTAGGGTGACAAAAACCTTATTCTATTTTTCCGTCGGCGTCCAACGACGCCAAGACAGGAGAAATTGTCATTATTTAGTATGGTTATGACGGCTCGCTTAGAGGAATTAACGTTATGAAGTTTACGGAAGACATCTTCATTTTTTTTAGGCAACGTCGGGTTGTCTGGGAACATTCTCTTTACGTGCTCTTACATTCTCTACATTCTCTTTACCTTTTTAGTCAAATAAACAATAACATACATGCATTAATACAAGATCTAACACAAACACACTAAACAATTTTTCAGGAAATATCAGATTTTCTGGTGGTTTTCAAAGTTATACAAATCATTTTCACAAACATGCTTATGAACTCACCAACATTTTTATGTTGACCGTTTTCAAAATAACTTGTATTCTCAGGATACTGTTGAAGCAGGATGAACGAAACAAACTAATGGATATTGTGTGATATTTTGTTTCATCATACTCTTACTATTTTGGCATGTAATATTCAAATACATTACTCGATGTAAACAATGAATGTTGTAATATTACATGTGTGATGATGATGATGTTATGTTTCAATTATATTCACTGTAATGATATTTCAAGATGAAGTCACGCGCAAGCCCCCGGACGTTTCCGCCGTCTGGTTCGGGGGTGTGACACAATAATATAACAGATCTCACCCAACATGCATATAAACTGGCCTCGCCCACGGGTCTCACACAATAAACATAATAATGGGCCTCACCCAACATACATACAAACATCCATGCAATATTCACAAAGATAACAAGCATCTTACATAGTATAATTAAATAACTCAACAATAACTTTAACAACCAAAAAGCTAACCCAAGCTACCTAACGCCAAACCAAGACCATTTCTTAGTCAAATACTCTATTCTACCATAGTTTGACCAAAATTAAAACTGGTCAAAAAGTCAATTGTCAACCAACCATCGACCACCGCGCTGCAGCCAATCCCTTTGGTCGCATCGTAGTCACTAGATGATAAAACAAACACGGGGTACGCAAACCACCGCATCGTGGCCAACATCCGACCTCGCTAAGGCGAACGCCCATAATAGCTTATTCCATTTAGCTCTTAAAAACCAAGTCTAAAGCCGCAAAGCTCATATCAAATTCTTCTAATGATTCTCATGGACAAAGTTTCCAACATTATCCATTCCAAAGACTCGAAACATTAAGATCTCTAACCCTATCTAAAAGTGTAACGCCCGTGTTTATAGTCTAGACATTAATGATTATGTAATAGTCTAGGTCAACCTATGTAATTTGTTTTGAAAAAATAAGATGCATTATTTGAGTATTATGTGTGTTATACTTAATTATTATTATTTAATGAATTAAGGATATAAATAAGCATCAAAAATAAATATTATATAAACCCGATATCCATGGAGAAAGTTGTAGTGGTTGAAACAAGGATTCTGGAGATATAAAGAATACCGAAATCTGAGTTATAACTAAGAAGTTATGATATGTCAGGAATTTTTGTGTATAATCGCTGATAGGAGGAGTCATAGTTGAGAGTAGGAGTGATTGTGCTATTATGTAGGTAAGTGGCTGTTTTGAATGTATGCTCCCAGAAGAAGTGAGGAAGAGATGAGTGAGCAAGAAGGGTTAGGCCTTTTTCCACAATGATGCGATTGCGACGTTCAACTACTCCATTTTGTTCTGGTGTATAAGGACACGAAACACGATGGTTAATACCTTGATTAGTGAGGTAGATTGAGACAATGCGATATTCACCTCCCCAATCGGATTGGAGGCTTTTGATAGAGGTGTTAAATTGATTTTTGATCATTTGATGAAATTGAATGAAGGTAGGAAGAACTTGGGATTTATGAGAAATAAAATAAATCCACACAAACTTTGTACAATCATCAATAAACAAGACGAAATAGTGGTTTCCATTTGTTGAAAAAAGAGGGGAAGGCCCCCATACATCTGAATACACTAAGTCAAAGGGATATAAAGAAGCAACATGTTTATTTTGTAGTGGAAACCGGTGGCTCTTTCCCAGTTGACATGAATCACAAACTGTAGGAAAGGCATCTGATGAAGTCGGAAGTTAGAAAGAAGTGATAAGACGTTTGAGAAGCGGGGCATGAGGGTGAGCGAGTCTCTTGTGCCAGCCATGAAGAGAAGTACGAACACCTGTAAGGGTTAGAATAGGAGAAGAGGTGTTGGATACTTGAGTATTAGAGGCCGGAACACGATAGAGGCCCTGCTTAACGTTCCCGGTTAGAAAGAGTTTTGCCCTACAATAACTTAACAGAAGATTGAGTACGCCAAAATTGTAAATAAACATCATTGTCTGCACTCAATTTTGAAACAATGAGCAGGCATTTAGTGATGTGTGGAACAACCAAAACAGAAGGCAATCGAAGAGAATGTAAGTTAGATGAAGCAATACGTGAAATAGAGAGTTGATTACCATTACCCACTTGAAGTTTATCAGAACCATGATATGGTTATGCAATTTTCATGTTTTGTAGGTCTGGAGTGATATGATTGGTGGCCCCGGTAACAAAGTACCAATTTGGATCAACAACTTTAGATAGACTAGTTTGATGAGTCAGATAGGCCTAACAAGACTGAGATTCACGTGGATTGGGCCTGCGCGATGGGTAATCCACCAGGTTAGCTCGTTGCCAGCAGTCAACAGCCTCATGACTAGGCTTATTACATAATTGGCAGTGGGGGCGGCGACGTCGATAATCATTTGATCGTGATCCAGGTGAGTAGTGAGAGGAGGCACCAGAACCGGATGCAGAGTGGTTTCTTGGTGGAGTACGATTGGCCTGAATAGCCAGTGGAACTGAAGCATTTGGGGCCCGTGGAGGAGCTGCAAGTTGCCGATTGTGGTCATGTTCTAAACGGGCTCATTTTTGCAGAAGAAGACCAATTAGGTCATCAACATTGGGAACATCATCCTTGACCATATAGGCTGCAGTAAAAGGACTGTAGAAGGAGTCAAGACCGCTTAGAATGTGCCCAATCAAATCTTCATCAGAGATAGGTTGAAGAGATTCTGCCACGGAGTCAGCAATGGCCCGTTTTTGTTCAAGGTATTCAATCATGGTTAAAGCCCCTTTTGACAGAGTTTGAAGCCGGAGTTTCATGGACATTCGCCTGGCCTTTGTCTGAGCCTGAAATGTGTGCTCGATGGTGGTCCAAGCAGAGTGAGAAGAGGTAGCGCGGGCAACTAGGGAAAGAGCCATCTCAGATAAAGTGGATTTAAGCCACATAAGAACAAACCGATCGCGTTGTTTCCACAATTGAAAATCGGGATTTGGTTCAGTGGTGGGTGGGTTTGTGGGAGGAACAACCGGACGAGTTTCTGCAGGGGGATTGGGAGCAGAGATGAAGGACTCCAGATTAAAGGTTTCAAGAGCTGAAACGATGTTGGTACGCCATATGGCAAAGTTCTCGGTGGTCAATTTGATGGTAATCGATGGAATTGGGGATGTGGTATCAGCCGCTAGACCCAAGATGAGCTGTTGGTTAGCCATGAGAAAGAAGGTTGGAAAAAAAAACCTAAGCTCTGGATACCATGTAAACGAGATACTGAATATTATTGTGTATTTGATTGCAATGAAACTGTGTGATAGAGTATAAATACAAGGAAGATACAACTAACTCCTAATTACAAGCAGGAGACTGGGTACAAGAGAATGACTAAGACTAAGTCATGCACGTGCTTGAGAACACGTGTGATACAGGTTATTATCTTCAACCAATTACCATAAGGTGTGATTTGGATAAAACGTACACTTGATGATATTATATGTACAAAGGTCTTACTTCCGCTAGTATTTTTTGTACATACCAAATTTAAATGTTTTTCTTTGAAAAAATTTGAAACTTAGTTATCTTTGTAAGACATTTTCCCGATCGAGTAATTTTAATCAGTAATATTAATAAAAACCAATCGGTCACCATAAAATGTAATTTGAAATATATATATATATATATATATATATATATATATATACACTTAGATTATATTTTGTATACAAAAACCTTAGTTTAATAGTATTTTTTGATATTTGTTAAATAATTTTGAAACTTAATTATCCTAATAAATCATTTTACCTCATTAATACTATTTATTTTTATTTCTTTCCATTTCTTTTCTACTATAGATAAGGAACACAATCGCAAAGCTCAAACTCAAGTCAAAGGAGCTTCAGTCGAGCGCCCACAAGTGCGCGTGAACTGTGAACAGTCGAACATCATCCGTCTATGGCTCTTCTAACGGAGCTCCCGTTACGAGACTTTCCTACTTTGACCTTTTACATGTAAAAAAGTCCCCAAATCATTCGAAAAGTAAAGGCGCTTCCCTCTCCCCCATCTGAACTCCAACAATACATTCGAAAAAAGCCTTCGAATCCACCACAACAGTAGCAGTATTAGTTCATCCTCGGGAATACGAGCTCCATCTCATAATTGATCAAGTCGTTAGTTCTTTCCGTCTATCATTTACTGAATTTTGCTAAAGCTAGGGTTTTTTTCTTCCGTGGGGCTCAGTTGTCATGTTAGTGAGTATAAATCTGTAAATTGATGGTGATTTTGCTTTCAGACTTGGGTCCTGATTAAGGTTGAGGAAAGATTTGGTAGTTTTAGGTGGAATCTTATTGGGAATTTTGGGAATTTTAAGTTATTGTAGTGGTTAAGAAGTAGAGGTCGGGGAAACTAGGGTTTGCTCGGAAGAAGTAGTTTGTATGAAATCTTGAGGTAAAAGATGTTTTATTCTCAGTTTATATTAGCGAAAAAAGGCCCCTTGGGTACAATATGGATTGCTGCTCATTTGGAGCGAAAGCTTCGCAAAAATCAGGTTTCAGATACCGATATCGGCGTCTCTGTAGGTAAGTTTGTCTTCTTCTCGTTCGTTTTCTGTTGTTGTTGCGTTCTTAATTTCTGCTGCTTGTTTTGCCAGACTCGATCCTTTTTCCTGAAATGCCGATTGCACTCCGGTTGTCCAGCCATCTTCTACTCGGTGTTGTTAGGATATATTCAAAGAAGGTGAGTTACCTTTTCGATGATTGTAGCGAGGCGTTGCTAAAAGTAAAAAATGCTTTTCGAGCCAATGCTGTGGACTTGCCACCTGAAGAATCCACCGCTCCATATCACGCCATAACCCTACCGGAGACCTTTGATCTGGATGATTTTGAGCTTCCCGACAATGAAAATCTTCAGGGGTTAGTGTCACACTATCAATCTTATGTTTCCATCTGTTTAGAACGAAAATTTCCAGGGATTAGTGCGACAATAATCCAATATCATCATCTTTTTCTGTAGTTTTGTTGATCATCATGTTGGTGCAAAGGAACAGATCACACTTCAAGATACTATGGAGGGTGTTGTTTACACTACTTCTGAATTTGGACGAGATGGTTGGTTGTTTTGTTCATCAATAATCAACTTTTTGAGTTGTTTTTCATTTACTGTTTTCACAGAATTAATTTGTTCTTTTGTTCTTTAGAGAGATTTGGTGATGGTGAAGCATCTCACTTGGACCTTAATGAGGTAACTAATGTTGTAATTTCTACTTTTTAACATTATTTTAATTAATTAATGCAAACTCTAAAAGGGCTTCTAAAAATTGGTGCTACAGGAACTTGTAGTGGAGAAGGCTGCAACAACTGCTGCTGATACTAATACCGATACATTGAATTCAAAGTATGCTCTCTGTGATTAAAGGACATTAAAGTTATTAGATTCATCTAAATTTTTCTACTTTATTTTTTTCATTATACAATATTCTAACATAATTATATATATATTTTTTCAAAAGCAGTGTTGATCTTGATCCTCAGGCATCTTTCCATGCAAAAACACCTGCAGAACCTGCTGCTGATACTGATACATTGAATTTAAAGTATGTTCTCTGTGTTTAAGCTTCACAAACGACATTAAAGTTATTATATTCATCTAAATCCTCTACTTTTTTTCGATTCTACAATGTTATAACATAATTGTGTTTTTCCAAATGCAGTAGTGTTGATCCTCAAGCATCTTTTCAGGCAAAAACACCTACAGAAACTGCTGCTGATACTGATACATTGAATTCAAAGTATGCTCTTTTTGATTAAGCTTCACAAAGGAGATTAAAGTTTTTAATTCATCTAAATCCTCTACCTTTTTATTTTTCCAAATGCAGTGTTGATCTTGATCCTCAAGAATCTTTCCAAGAAAAAACACCTGCAGAAACTGCTGCTGATATTGATATTGATACTGATACATTGAATCCAAAGTATGCTCTCTGTGAGACTATGATTAAACCTCAAAAAGTGACATTAAAATTATTAGATTCATCTAAATCCTCTTTATCTTTTTTGATTCTACGATGTTGTAACATAATAATATTTTTCCAAATGCAGTGTTGATCCTCAGGCATCTTTTCAGGCAAAAACACCTGCAGAACCTGCTGATGTTACTGATACTGCTACATTGAACTCAAAGTATGCTCTCTATGATTAAACGACATTAAAATTATTACCTTTTTGCCATTATACAATATTCTAACATAAACTATATATTTTTCCAAATACAGTGTTGATCCTCAGGCATCTTTTCAGGCAAAAACTCCTGCAGAAACTGCTGGTGTTACTGATACTGATACTGCTACATTGAACTCAAAGTATGCTCTCTGTGATTAAAGGACATTAAGATTATTACCATTTTGCCATTATACAATATTCTAACATAATTAAATATTTTTCCAAATACAGTGTTGATCTTGATCCTCAGGCAAAAACACCAGTTAAGGATGATGAAGATCATGATGCCATGTCTGATGATGATGGTTTAGATCAGGTAAGTAGAAAAACCCTAAAACTGTTTCCAGGGTTCCTTTTTTTTCTTTTCTTTTCTTATAAAGATTAAAAAAGATGACATTTTTATCTTTTTTTTTTGTTGTCAGATGGAGGATTCTGATGGGTATGATGATGGTGATGCTGATTATGTCCCAGATGACTATGAGGGCCCCTCAACTCCTGGACTATGGGAAGAACCAAATTTGCCCAATATTCAAGAAACTCCAACATGTGATGATGAATCTCTAAAAGAGAAACTAGAAAACACTTCCCAAAAGGTGACTCATTACATGCCACATCAGCAAGAAAAGTCAACTCCAGTGGACCATATGTCAATCAATGATTTTAGTCATCAATCCATTACTATGACTCAAGGTCTTGCAGGAGTTAAAGAAACATATTACGAAAATGCCATTGAAAAAGAACATGGAAACGATATCAACACCCGTGACAATTGGTTTAAAGCTCAAGGTATGTTTTGTTTCATCAGGAATGGAATAACTCATTCCATTCCTTCCATAATTCCATCAAGTGATTAAACCTTTATTATGTAATCAATCTTCTTTTCCTAATGCAGGAAATATTGAAAATGCATACCACCCTACTACTTCCCATTTGGTATCAAATTCAGAAACCCTAAATGAACATGAGAATAATCCTACAAATGTTTCTTCATTTCACTCACTTGAAACAAGAGAAAAAGAAAATCCCTCCAATTTTTTTGGAGGATCTGGTTTGATGCAAGGTGCATATATATTCTTTTTTTTTTTTTTTTTTAATCTCATACTTGTATAACATGTTATAAAGGATAATATTAAATGGTTTAATCTTTATAGGGGAAGCTTCACATGCAACAAATACATTCGATTTAAACTTGCAAGAGATTCACTTCACTCAATCTCATGATGAAGATCAAGTGGGATGCAACTTATACAATGAACAACCATACAATGTGAATCAAGGAGATAACAACACCACCTACACTTCACATTTCTCTTCATCCGAGAGATTACTTGGTGTGCAAGAAAGGTTTCAAGATATACCTCAACAAGACAAAACAAATATCTACACATCTCATTTTCAAGCTTCTGAGAGATTACCTGTTGTACAAGAAAGGTTTCAAGATGTAAATCAAGGAGTTAATAACATTAACATCAACACAAATCTCTACACTTCTCCTTTGCTTCCTGTACAAGAAAGGTTTTCAGATCATGTAACTACTCAAAGAGATAACACAAGCAGTTACACTTCTCATTTCCCTGATACAGACAGATTACTTGGAGTACAAGAAAAGTTTCCACAAGGAGATAACAATAACAATAACATTAACACGAGTGGTTACACTTCTACTTTCCCTACTGCTGATACTTTGCTTGGTGTGCAAGAAAGGTTTCCACAAGGAGATAACATTACCACGAATAGTTACACTTCTCAAATCTCTGCTCCCGATAGATTACTTGGTGTACAAGAAAGGTTTCAAGATGCAAGTCAAGGAAACAAGTCAAACAACACAAATGTCTACACTTCTTCGTCTTCTTCTCATTTCGCTCCTGCTGAGAGATTGCTTGCTGTGCAAGAAAGGTTTTCAGATGCTGTGCTTCGACAGAATACTACACCTGTTCAAGAAAATTTGTCCAGGGGCGATGGTGGTCATTTGACAAGTGGAAAAAAAAGGAGTTTCAATGATAGCTCAATGATGTCGCAAAGTATCAATTTTGGTGATCCTTCTGGTTTATTGACTACCAACATAACTCCCCACTCTGTTCCAAATAATGATGATATTCTGTCATCCATTTTAGGTATGCAATGCAGTATCTTTTTGAGTAAATTACACGAATGGTCCCTATGGTTTGGGGTATTAAAAAATCAAGGGCAAAATAGTCTTTTTAAGTAAGACAAGGATCAAGCGCGTAACAAAAACAAATTAGGGACCTTTTGAGTTTATAAAATAAGTTAGGGACCAAACGTGCAAATTACCCTAAACCATAAGGACCATTCGTGTAATTTACTCTTATCTTTTTTCATAAAAATTAAATTTCAGATTTTGATTTTATTATTATTATTATTATTTTTTTGTTACAGTTGGAAGATCTTCAGTTATGCAAGTGCAGCCGACACCTCCTCCACAAAAAAGGCGGCGCCAGACTGCACCCAAACCGCCCAAGAATAGTGTTCCGCCTAAAAGAAAGGTGCCCATGGATGATAGCACTGTGTTGCATGGCGAGTATGTATCTCTTTTTATTTATTTATTTATTTATTTAAATTGTTAGGGAAAATTACATAAACGCCACTATATTTTTGTCAAATTTTGGGGTTGTGGTTTCACAACTATATTTTGGTTTCTTTAATGAAAGCTACCTACCCAAGTATTATTAGCTGAAAAATATTTTGAAATTTCTTTTTGTTATGTAATTTTTTGTTACTCTTATGTTTGTTGGATTTTTATATTAATATTTTTTATTTTCTTTTTTTGTGAAAGTATGATACGCCAGCAATTGACTGATACAAGTGACATAAGGAGACCAAGAAAGAAGGTTTCTTGTACTTGGGTTGAACTTTCAATGATTCACAAACAACTTTGGGAAGATGCCATTTTTCATGAAGCTTTATTTACTGGTGAGTTTAAATTTCAAAATCTTGGAATTTTTTATGAAAATTTCATTGGACTTAAATAAATCTTATTTATTTCTCTCACTTCACTTCTCAGGCATGTCAATCAAATTAGCTTCTTTGCACAGTCGATCATATGATTTAAGGAAAATTAGGGTTTCCCGTATAGAATCTTCTTCAGATGCACCACCCGTTTCCCAACTCGATGAAAATGTCGAAAATGCCCCTGAAGAAAATCTCAATCTCCATGAGGCTAACAAAGATGATTATCATGTTAGTGAAGAACAAATGAATTCAACCAATGAAGTAAGAGAACCGATTACTTTAGAAACTGCAACAATTGAGACAGATGCTGCTCCTGCTGCTCTCCAAAGTGTTCAATCGGATGAAAAGAGTGAAAAGACGGATCTGCCCTCTGTTGGGACGGATGCTTCTATAGATATAAATAGTAAATACATCGACAATAAAACCGATGAAATTAAGATTGATATTGCTTCACCTGAAAAGACGTCAGAAGCGAAAGATGAGGTGGAGGTTGAGGTGGTGGTGGTGGGACCCGAGGTGGTTGCCATTGATCAAGAAACTGAAGAAATTGGGAAAAATGAGAATGAGGAAGAAACCCCAAAACCAGAAGTGGAGTGTATTGAAAATAACTCGGTTCCCGAGGGTACTTTTGGTAAACAACTTGAAGCAGATGCTGAAAATGTAACTGAAGTTGAATCTTGTTCAAAAGAAGCTTTATTGGATAATGATAAACAAGTTTCAGATCATGAAGATGCTTCTCCAGAAGAAACAAATATGGAAGAAGATGATAATAATCCCAAGAATAGGGTTGATGATGATGATGTAAGTTATATTTATATATATATAATTACAAGGAGAAAATTGTAATTTTGTCTCACTAAAAAGGTCGGACATGACCCATCCGCTCTTGATCTCTTGTCAGTGGAAAAGACGTAAATGCCCTCATTCTAGGGCTATTTTTGGATATGACAAAATTGTAACTTTTGTGACATTAAAATTAAAAATATTTTATTAATTCATTGGTTTGTTTTTGTGCAGGAGGTGGAATATTCTCCAGTTCAGAATAATACAGGTTTGCTTCATTTATTTTCAGAATGTGTAATTTAATGAAAATATGTTTTTAAGTATTTTGGTCTCCTTAGTTTTATTGCTAAGAATAATATTTTTCGGGTATTTTCTTTTTTGTTTTTTCAGATTTTCTGAATTTGGATGATGAAGATGAAAATGATGCTGAAGAGCCTGATGAAGATTTGAGTGACACTGAAGAAAAACGTTTAATTGATAACAGTGGATGGTCTTCACGTACCAAGTAAATCATATTTATTTATTTTTTTAACATTAATTTAAAAAGAAAATAAATAAAATCTTTTTTTTTTTGTAGGGCTGTTGGAAAATATCTCCAAAATATGTTTAATAAGGAAGAAGAGAATGGAAGAAAGGCTCTTCGTATGAACAGCCTTTTATCTGGGAAAACTCGCAAGGAGGCATCAAGAATGTTTTTTGAAACTTTGGTAAACTTTATAATTTTTTTTTTTTTGGTAAATGTTTTTTATTAGATTTTGTGTTAAAAGATGGGAATGGTTTTTTTAGGTTCTTAAAACGAAGGATTATATCCACGTGGAACAGAGTGATGCCTTTGAGAACATTGAGATATTGCCACGATCGAAGCTTCTGAAATCAGACTTTTGATCTGATGGAAGAAAAAAGAAAAGTTATGTTGTGTAGCTTGTTTTAGTATTTTAAGCATTTTATATGGAGAGAGGATGATATATTTATTTGTAATTAATCTGTAAAATAATACCTTCTGTATTATTGTTAGATGCTAACATGTCTTGTCAGTTCTTTATTAATAATCTTGTTTAGATGTTGTGTGATTTTTAGTCAATTAACTTGTTATTCGAAAAATATGTTTCTCTTGAATGTTGCATTATTACTAGTATATTTTTGTATTGTGTATAAAAATATAACAATGAAAAAGAAAAAAAACATTTGTTCATAAAACTCATCGTCATTTATACATTACAACATTGAAAAACAAAAAAGCATGGCCTACACAACGTTGTCAAAGATTAAATATTACATAAACCAAAAGAATGTATAAAAAATTCTAAAAATAATAATTAGAAATCACTGGATATGAAGCGTCTCAATTGCCTTCTTCCACTGGAATGCTCTCAAGCCTTGTTACATTGCTGGCTTCATCAAGATTCGATTGGTCAAATAAAGATTCTTCAGTGTATATTAGAGATGATGGAATAATTTATTTGAAAAAAGATGGAAATTACATGTATCTTATATCAATATATCATACCAATAATTTATGAATCAGATCTTTAGCTTCATCTGAAAAATAACTTGGAAATATGACATCACGTGCTATAATTTTCGTTGGAAAATGAGCCACTCACTTGCATCCTGAAATGGAGAACTTCCTGATAGCATCTGAAATAAAAGCTTTTATGATACTATATAACAAGATGTAATGAAAGAAATGTTTTCTTCATTTTGAGAATTGTATTAGAGAATGAGGGGAATTTTAGGTTTGTATGATGGATATTTGCTTACATAGTGAATCGTCATCTTGAAATCTGTGAAAAACAGTCGGATAATTCCAGGGTGATCAAGCTGATCGAGTACAAGCCTCTCCAACTTCACATACGGAGCTTTGTTTTCCTTTGTGATCAACTTTTTTATCCATGATCTTCAAGGCGTAAAGTTTTCATGTGTCTTTCTTTCGTGCTCTCACTACCTGATGACATGTAATCATCGAATTTCAATTGTAAGCAGATGGCGAAGTTCAGAATTAGAGATCGACAAGAGAAAAGAAGGAAAACCGGACCTTCGAATACGAACCATAGCCATAGATCTTTCCCAATTCGAAATCGTGGATGGTGAAACTCACTTGTGGTGCCCTAAATTCGAAGTTTGTTGATCGATTGGAATTACGATCGACATGTTTGTCTGTGACGTTCTGAATGCTTAGCTTAGAATCAAAATCCTTCTCCATTTCACCTCCAACCATGGCCAACATTTCTCTCCTCCGTTTCCCCTAAAATCTCATCTTGGAGAAGATGAAGAAGAAGAGATATTGTGAGTATGTACTCTTCAAGTGCACGGATTCCGATGAAAGGGGAAACCAAGGAGCGTTGAACAACAGAGCATATCACAAGAACAGGACATCAGATAAGACATGTATCCCTTTTTCCAACTGAAGGCAGCCTGACAAAGCCAAGTATCAATTCAAATAAACCCAGATAAAGCGATTTTGATTCCTTAACATTCAAAACCCTAAAAAGCAAAATCGAAAGGAAGATGGAGGGATCGAGTGAGGAGGGCATGTGAATGGGTGATTAAATAGTTTGCTTCTCTCTCCGGATGGATATTTATCTTTGTATGCATATTCAACCTAAAAAGGAGGGAAATTTTGTGAACGTAAATAGTAATTATGAAAGGAAATGTGTATTATTCGAGGGAAATAAAGTAATCTAAGGTGCTGTTTGTTTTTTTAAGTCAAAATGTCTGCAGTCTGTGGATCATATCTGCAAGCCTCTACGGCAGAAGAGGTGGACCAAATGTCTGCAATCTGCAATAAGAAGATTGTTTGTTTTTAACGTCTGCGGGCCGTTAAAATAAATTGAGTTTTTAAACTTAATTTCATGTTATAAACATTAAAAATGTATTTTTAACAAAAAATGAAAGAAAAAAAAACTGCACGGTGGCCATTTTTTTTTTTTTAGGTTAAAATGAGGTCTGAAGACCTTTGAAGACAGTGACCCATGTCTGCGCCAGGAAGACCTCGCGCAGACGTTTTCTGATCTGCGCACTTCCAAAAAACAAACAATCTGTGGGGGCATATGTCTGCGCGGCGCAGACAAAAGTGATTGCGCAGATCTTCAAACAAAAAACAAACAGCCCTAAGGCCGGCCATCTCTAATGAATACATTCTATTATTATTATTATTATTATTATTATTATTATTATAATTATTGAACAGCAAAATTTTATTAAACCTCTAGCAAATAGCAAAAGGCCAAAGAAACGGACAAAATGTAAAAATAATTACATGTAAGTTTAAGGGACATCAAATGAAAAATAAAATACACCATGAAACCCAGTTTAAGAAGATCCCTTTCGATCTATTTTTCACCCAAAGAAATGTAATTATCTTTATATCTTCAATCACCCAAACCGGAGAGTAAGGAACTTTGTTGAAAATCATATCGTTTCTAGTTCTCCAAATTGACCATAAAGCAAACATAATCACCACACGAGTCACCTTTTTTTAAGTTGAGGATTGATAATAAACATGAGAGATGGATAGGAGCTTCTCCAAAGAAAAAATATTGAAAAAGTTCAGATCACACCAAGATTGTAGCAGAGTCCATATCTCTTTCACCTAAGTACATTGAAAATACATTACAACAGAATGTGAATGGAAGACTCATCCCCAGACTCACATGTCTCGCGAGTAACTCATGTTAACCTGACTCTTTTTTTGCTAACTCGGTTTTGGAAGGCAAATGGTTTAGAACCGCTCTCTGACTAAAGAAATTGAGTTTGATGAGAACCCAACTATTTCAGAAATGTTTATAAGCAAGCGAAGTACAAACCTTTGGATCCCAAATAACCCTAATCGAACTCACTGAGAATAACCCCGAGGGTTCCCCAAGCCAGCACCAAGAGTCACCTGAGCTTCTGAGGACCGAATCTGAAAGCATCTTCACACAGTCTACTTGCTCCACCCTTTTAATTACAGTTCTTGGTGATCTATTCCAACTCTAAGTGCAATTCAGTTACCTGCCATTTTTGGAACATCTCTCTAAAACATAACAATGTTTTTTGGACTCTAGTTTGAACAGAGATGGAAACTTATCTTAAAGGGGCGTGTCACCAGACCAACAATCAAACCAAAAGGAAGTCAAATTCCCATCATATATATGCTTCTTAAACAGATCCTATAAAGTGATTTTATATTCCATTCAACTCTATTAAAATTTAATGGATTGTCACATTGGTATCTTATTATATTTTCTTTTAAAATAATATTAATATATAAAACTATAATATTCAATTAATTTGAAATTAGAAGTTGAAAATTTTAATTAAAAGTTGTTTATATTATTCTACTATTTATTATTTAGACAATTAAAATGTAAATTATAAAACAAAACAAATTACTTACAAATTAAAATATATCATTTTAATTGACAAGTTATTATTATTGAATATAAAATAAATTAAATATATTATAAATAAAAAATAAATCAAGAAATAACGATAATATCCCAAAAACCATGATAACTTTTTATTTTTATTTTTAAAAGAAAATTTCTTATAATTATCAGATAATCAAACATTGTTTCCATCCAAAAAATCATAGTGTCAAGATAATGTCTCAAACATAAAACAACATGAGGATGTGTGTAATCACACCTTCCCTTGCCCGGATCATTAGAAGTACCTAAAAACATTGAAATCAACAATTGTAAGTCAAAGCATAGTAAGTTCCCTAAAATACCTCACACAACGATACATATACAGTGTATGCATACCAGGCCTACAATATAAAACTGGATTTCCACGGGCCCATAGTCATCATACTAGATTGCCTCCAGGCCCACAATCCTCAGACTGGATTGCCCCTGGGCCCACAACACATGACTGGATTGCCCCGAGTTTGTTGGAGTTCAACACAAAGCTATAGCGCCTCAACTCAAACCGCACTATGTTGACATATGCAAACAATAATCAATAACCTGCAAGTACATGTAATCATACATATCTACCAATCTAACAAATCACTACAATATACCAACATTCTACACACAAGGACACATAATGCAATACAAAGTATAGTGAGAAAACTCACATCGTAGTCTAGAAGATAACAACACTGATCACAGATCTAATAACCAACACTACATGTCACCTATACAACAAACACGGACCAAATCTCAGCTACATCCCATAACCCTAAATTTGACCTAAAGTCAAACTTGGTAAAAAAAGTCGAAGCCAACACTCAAAAGTCATTCAATCGGTCGCCACGTCGTGATCACTAGTTGGTCACGTCGTGGTAGAGTGAATACACAATAATCATGAAAACAACCCCTCGTCACGTCGTGACGACCATCTCATCATGTCGTGAGGAACGCTTTGGACAACTTAATGCCTTAAGTTGTTAACCCTTCAAGCCAAGCAACCAAAATTTCCAAAAGGCTTTCTCCATCTCAAAATACCATAAAAACCATTGCTTGTTAGACATGCATTCCAATGCATGTCTTAATAACCAACTAGGTCAAAATGAAAGGAAAATGAGATCAAATCCCATGCATGGAACCCAAAAGTCACTAATATTCTAGATCTAGGACAAAGGGATACAAACGAGTCACAAGAAGGCAAGAACTTGAGGACTTACAAGAGTCCTAATACAACTCAAGATGACGAGAGAGTGGCTTGCTAGCTGAGATGATGCACCAAAATGCCTTATCTTCTTCTTCTTTAAGGCTTCAAATCACCAAAAAGGATGTAAAATCCCAAAATTTAAGACCAAAAATTTCATTTTTAATTAGGTTATTATAAAACCAACAGTATAAGAAAACATCCATAATAGCGTTCCATGTCAAAACCAAAGTGTCAATAATCAAAACATGTTATCATAAAATAATATCAGAGTGTAATCCAAAAGATCTCATGTGCGGAAAACATAGTGTGATGCGCTACAATCGAGCTGACTCATTTCCTTTGAAAACGAAGTAATTGAAACCAAAATTAAAAACTGTAAGCATGAAGCTTAGTGAGTTCCCCCATCATACCACATACCATACATAACACATAATGCATAACATAACTAAGTACTGACTACCCCTTCGGTCCTGTCAACCGGTACCTTGCCTAGTATATCA